ACAACATCACATAATATTCATAATGACCATATCTTGTCCTAAAACCAGTCTTTTGAATATCTTAAGCCTTAACTCGAATATGATGAAACCCAAACTTCAAATCAATCTTACTAAATACACTTGCACCAACCAACTGATCCATCAAATCATCAATCCTCGGAAGTGGATACTTATTCTTAATAGTCACCTTACTCAGCTGTATATAATCCACACATAACCTCATAGAACCTTCCTTCTTCTTAACTAACAAAACAGGTGCATCCCATAGTGACATACTCTGACGAACGAACTTCTTCTCAAGTAAATCCTCAAGTTGACTCTTCAACTCTTTCAATTCAGATGCTCACATACGATATGTAGCCATCAAAATTGGACTAGTTCCAGGAACTAAATCAATCACAAACTCCACTTCACATTCTGGCAGAAATTCACTTACATCTTCAGGAAACACCTCAGGAAAATCACGGACAACAGGAAACTCACCCATAGTTTGCTTCTCACCGAGAATCAACATTGCCAACAAAGCAAACAAGACAACACCATCTTGCACATACTCATTAACTTTACATACTATCAAGCTGGCGAGACAAGCCTATACCATCTAATATGATCTCGTCTACTATCAACAATAAATTAAGGGTGATCAGTTTCTCAATTTGTCGATAGGTAGCCGAAAACCATAATAGAGCATAAAATATCATTACCAAACTATAATAACATTTTTCTTGTGCTCAAAATCACCTAAAGCACCACGGTCCAATTCTTCAGACCATAAACATCTCAGGGAAGCAAAGCTTCTCCCCCACTTATTTTAAACCCACTCCTGCAACCAAGTAGCTAGAAAAATAAGCAAGTACCGACAATATTTCACACACATGTCACGTACTGAGGGAATAAAAATGTTAATAAAATGACCAACTGACCAACCATTGATCTGATACCACTATTATAACACCCTCAACCCTACATAGACATAAATAACATAATCAGAGTAAATTAGTATACATCTCAAAGAGGGCGTCATAATTGACTTCATAAAACGATAAAGAAAATTAAAACATGCATACTGGTCATGATCATAACACATATTCAAATTCATGTTTCATACACCAATACAAAATATGCATCTCACCACGGAATAATTACCTCAACATAAAGATATAAATGATTGAAATCCCATGCTGGCAATCATATCATAAGTACTAGGCATTGAGACCAAACATCACATAATCTCATACATATCCAAATAAAAGAGAATAATAACGAATATCTCTCAAAACAAATTAAACATGAGTTCAAATATCTCTCGTGTTACATAGACCAGAGCAATGATTCACTACCTAAGAATAAGCAGATACATAAGGATCTAACTCCTCCTCTAATCCTGGCTATGAATCCATCACTCTTCATAAAACCACATATTAGGCATAACATAATCCAATATACCAATTCACATATACAACATAGCTCATCAATTCATATTTCAAATGAAATTCAATTCCAATTAACAGAGTTGTACAATTAAATCAATTATCACATATTGCACATCAAAACACCATATTCACACTAATATTACATAATGAGTGATAATGCAAAAATTCACATCGACACATGTGACTCCAATGCAACTCAAATGCATTATGCATGTGGCACCAATGTTATCCTTACCAGTCCTGCCGAACCCACATCTCTAAGACAGATAACCATCAATAAAAGCCCGATTCAGCCTTAAGCTTTCAAAACTCATTCAGCATTAGGTTTGAGACAAGTCAATAGTTCATACAGAATTACCAAACTTTGACTTTTGACACAAATGATGCATGTACACGTGCAATCTCAATAACTTATCACAACAACTCATCACATAATTCAACATATTTTGAATTATCTTCACAACATTGCACAACATACATCTTTCATGCCAATCAATCACATATACACAATCTCATAGTATAAATCGTCTCAACACATCATTATAACATGTAGCAATTAGATACAAATCATGCTATATTCAAACATCATCAAATTCCAACATTTATGTACACAAGGATCAAAGCAACCAACCAAAATTCAATCTTCCCATGAATGCATCTGCAATTTTCAATAAACTTATGAAATTAAGACCATCTCACAATCTTAATCATCAAAGCATATCACAATAATTCAATACATTGAATTATCCACCAACAATTACACAAAACATACATTTATCATGTCGTCATATAAACATCATTAACAATATATTTGCATAGTATTAACCATCATCACAACTCACAAATAACATATATCATATAAGCCAACCGATGTCATTTTCAACAATCACCAAAATATAACATACATATACTAAAATCAAGTAATCATGTATTCATCAAAACACATCCAAAACCAATCCAAAACACATTGAATAAATTATTAAAATTCATGTAAACTAATAATAATTCATAAGCATGCAAACCCCTAAGCCATTCACGCGTAATAAGAAATTTTGATTCTAGGCAACCGCGCTAAGCGGCCCCACCCGCGTTAAGTGCCCTCTGCGAAAACCAGAAAAATCTACTGCGAACAGCTTCTGTCCAAACACAAAAATCTAACTTAAACCATGTTCTAGTGTCCATTTTCACCAAATCAATGTATTCTAGCATGTATCTATCATATATCATCTATTTGTATCACAAAAACATGATTTCCAAACATCAATTTGGGATTCTATTTCAACCTAAGTGAATCCAAAAACTTAGAAATTGAAATACCCAATTCTAGTTCATGTTACTAATCATCATCCAATCATATACAAACCCATAATAACAAGGATTCTCCTCATTACCTTGATTCTAGCCACCTTAGGATTCTTCCTCCTTCTTCTCTTCTCTTCTTTTCCTCTTTTCTTCTTTTCTCTACGTTTCACAAAAAATGAGGATTCTAATCTTTGTTTTCATATAACCCTTACTAACTATTGTTTCTCTTATTAGGCTTAGCAACTCATACCCCCTTATTACTTCTATTTCTCATAATTAGGTCCAATTAGTTATTTCATTCATTAATACACCTAATAACTCAATTATTCAAATAACACATATATTCAAATAATTCAAATATTCACCAAATCACACAATTAAATTAATTACTATATAATATAATAATTAATAAAAATAATTCAACAATACTAAATAAAAACCGGGATGTTACATCCCCGACGCGTGGCCATTGGTTTCTATTTTTAGACCTAGATATTAGGTTCCTCAAAAATAAGTAACTACCAGGGCTTATTCAAAACGGACATTAGTGTCTGTAACTAGTCGTTACTCCGAACAAAGAAGAGATTACTGACATATGCGTTATGTGCGTTTTCATGGTTGTCTGCTCGATGTGTATTGAGCAGACCTGGAGATGACTATCGATGCAGGCAAGCGTATGGTTTAGGGCGTCGTTGGTCTCGCTGTCCCTGGGGTGTAGTCGACTAAGTGTGCCCGACCGAAGGCCAGAATTAGTGGACTAAATCTATTGTGCCATGTTAAAGGTAGAAACAGATTGAGCCAATTATAGACATTAGACCAGTCCAGAACAATTTTTATATAAGAGAAAAAAATATACTATTGATTCAAATATTATGTTATAATTTATATTACTACTTGAAATTTATACAATTAAAATAATTCTTGCACAATTAAATTATATATATATATATATATATATATATATATATATGGAAAAAAAACGTATTACTTATCAAAATAGGAGAAAAATATTTTTCTTATGAATTAATTTAAATATCTAAATATGAGAAAAAGTATATGTCTTTTATAAATTAAATTAAAATATTTTTAAATTAATGAATGAATGTTAATTTCTTTTTTTAACGAGAACTATTTTATTTATCGAAATATTGGAAATGATTTTGACATTGACACATAAAGTTGTATTTATTAAATGTTTAACAAATATTGATGAAAAATTAATTTAATTTGTATGAATCTAAACACGAGAAAAATATGTTATTTTTTAATTATTTATATTACTAATATTTCTTATTTTTCAATTATTTTTAATTTAAGATACAATATATTATAAGAAAATGTATGGTAAATGTGTTATTAATTTATTGATGTAATAATTTCAGTAATATATATGTGATTAATTTAAATAACCAAATACTAAAAAAATATATGTTTCTTATTAATTAATTTAAAATATTTTTAAATTAATGAGTGAGTTTTAGTATTTTTTTAAAATGGAAATAAGTTTATTATTGATCTAAATATTTTTATAAATAATATCAAAACATAAATAATACTTACATATGAAAAAATATATCGTTGATCTAAATATTTTTATATTTAAAAAAAAATTCTATTTATGATCCTAATATAAATAAGAATATGTCTTTTTTTTTAAATAATAAAGTTTATTGGTTAAATAATATTGTCTTTTTGTTTTTTAAATTTTTATTACATTTAAAAAAAAAGTGTATAACATACCAGTATTCGTACGAACGTACAAATATACATATCAGAATTCGTGCAAGCACACGGGTTCCGACATTTTATGTATATTTAAAGAAAATAAAAATAAAAATATTTAAAATCATGTATGAATCCAAACACAAAAAAAAATAAAATTAATTATTTATGTTATTACTATTTTTGTTTTGATATTATTTTTAATTTTAGATATAATATTTTTTAAGATAATATATAGAAAATTAAAATATATATTATTAATCTAAAATAAATTTATTTTTCTTTTAAAAAAAAGATTAATTACTATGCAATAAAATTCTTTACAAAGTCAATGCATCATAATCACTCAGAAATATTATTTATAAATAATTAAAATAAAAATCAAATATCAATAAATATTTAACAATCACGATTTACAGATAGTTTAAAACTGTTTTACACTATCGGTGCATACCAATTAAATTCTTAAAATATATATAATTGATGGAGTCCAATGCATTAGTATGGTTATGCTCGAAAACACAAACACAAATACAAACATCTATGTTGAAGTATACCCCACTGTCGTCAGACAGACAGGAGTTTTATGCAGCTTTCATTCACTGCCCATTTCTCGTGAAGCTCTCTCTTCCTACATCACACTCCTCACCACTACTCTCTCTCTTTTCCTTTCTTTCTCTCTTTTCTCACTCATCCGTGAACCACACTTTACTACTATCTCTCCCATTTCATCCCTTCCATTTCCTCAACACTGTAAAGGTAACAACTTTTCAGCTGCAATCACTTTCACTTATCTCCTCCTCTATTACAAAGTATACAACTTTACACTTCACAATTACACAACACTCCTGAAAATGATAACTTTTTAGTTTAAAATGAATGCTTTTATTATAATTTTACACAAATCTCAAATGGGTATTCTTCAAATTTTGATTTTTTGATAATGGGTTGCTGCATTTCAGGTGCAAGTCATGGAAGCAGCGACATTGTTTCAAATCTTCACATTTGTGAAATAAAGAAAAAGGGTGAAGGAAAGTATGTTTTTTGAGTGAAAAGAACAACAGTGATGGAAATTCTGTGCTTGTTGTATATTGTGTTGGGTTTGTATGTTTCAGTTGGTGAATTTGTTGGTGCTGAGTTACAAGACCAAGCTATAATACAAGCCATCAATCAGGAGCTAAGAGTTCCTGAATGGAGTGATGCAAACATTTCAGATTACTGTACATGGCAAGGGGTTTTATGTGGCAATCATTCAATGGTAGAGAAGCTTGATCTTTCTCACAGAAGTCTTAGAGGTAATGTGAGTTTAATCTCTGAGCTCAAAAGTTTGAAGTTACTTGATCTTTCTAATAATAACTTTGGTGGATTGATTCCTCTTGCTTTTGGAGATTTGTCTGAGCTTGAAGTTCTAGATTTGTCTTCTAATAAGTTTGAAGGTTCGATTCCGTCACAGTTTGGTGATCTCAGAAGCTTAAAATCATTGAACATTTCTAATAATTTGCTTGTTGGTGAGTTACCAATGGAACTTCACGGTTTAAAGAAATTGCAGGATTTGCAACTTTCTAGTAATCAGTTGAGTGGTTTTATACCTTCTTGGGTGGGGAATTTAACCAATTTGAGAGTTTTTTCGGCGTATGAGAATCGTTTAGATGGTAGGATTCCAGATAATCTAGGCTTGATTCCTGAACTTCAGATACTTAACTTGCATTCTAACCAGCTTGAAGGTCCGATACCAGCAAGCATTTTCGCTTCGGGGAAGCTTGAAGTTCTAGTTCTTACTCAGAATAATTTTAGTGGTAATCTTCCGGAGGAAATCGGGAACTGTCGTGGCCTTTCGAGCATTAGAATTGGAAACAACCATCTTGTAGGTACTATTCCTAAGACCATTGGAAATCTTAGTAGCCTGACATATTTCGAAGCCGATAATAATAATCTTTCTGGTGAGCTAGTGTCGGAGTTTGCGCGATGTTCTAATCTCACCCTTTTGAATTTAGCTTCAAATGGATTTTCTGGGATGATTCCACAAGAGTTTGGACAACTTATGGATCTTCAGGAATTGATTTTGTCTGGAAATGGCCTATTTGGTGATATTCCAAAACCAATTCTCAGTTGTAAAAGCCTCAACAAGCTTGATATCAGCAACAACAAATTCAATGGGACGATACCGAATGAAATATGCAATATTTCTCGGTTGCAGTACTTGTTATTGAATCTGAATTCCATAAGAGGAGAGATCCCTCATGAGATAGGAAGTTGTGCAAAACTCCTTGAATTACAGTTGGGAAGTAATTATTTGACTGGAACTATTCCTCCCGAGATCGGTCGCATCAGGAACTTACAGATAGCTTTGAATTTGAGTTTCAACCATCTCCATGGACCACTGCCACCTGAATTAGGAAAACTGGACAAACTTGTTTCTCTCGATGTTTCAAATAATCGGCTATCAGGCAATATCCCAACCGAGCTTAAGGGAATGTTGAGCTTGATAGAGGTGAATTTCTCAAATAATCTATTTGGAGGCCCTGTACCAACATTTGTACCGTTCCAGAAGAGTCCTACTTCGAGTTTTTTAGGAAATAAAGGGCTTTGTGGAGATCCATTGAACTCTTCGTGTGGAAATATTTATGATGTTCACGGTAGTTACCATCACAAGGTTTCTTACAGAATCGTATTGGCAGTAATTGGTTCTGGTTTGGCAGTTTTTACGTCGGTTACTATAGTTGTCTTGCTGTTTATGATCAGAGAGAGGCAAGAAAAAGCAGCTAAAGAAGCTGCAGGTATTGTTGATGATCCAACTGATGACAAACCAACTATCGTAGCAGGGACGGTTTTTGTCGATAATCTACAGCAAGCGATAGACCTCGACGCTGTTGTTAACGCAACGCTGAAAGACTCGAATAAACTCAGCAGTGGAACTTTCAGCTCAGTTTACAAAGCAACCATGCCTTCTGGTGTGGTTTTGTCTGTCAGGAGACTGAAATCTGTGGACAAGACGATAATCCACCATCAAAACAAGATGATTCGAGAACTCGAAAGGCTAAGCAAGGTTTGTCACGATAATCTCGTGCGACCTATCGGCTATGTCATTTACGAAGATGTTGCTCTTCTCTTGCATAATTATTTTCCTAATGGAACATTGTCTCAGCTTCTTCATGAATCTACCAAGCAACCTGAATATCAGCCTGATTGGCCAACTAGGCTATCCATCGCCATCGGTGTCGCAGAAGGTTTGGCTTTCCTTCATCATGTGGCAATAATCCATCTTGACATTTCTTCTGGCAATGTTCTTCTGGATGCAAACTTCAAGCCATTGGTCGGAGAGATTGAGATTTCAAAACTTCTTGATCCAACCAGAGGAACCGGAAGTATAAGTGCAGTTGCCGGTTCCTTCGGTTACATACCCCCAGGTATACTACTATTTTCCAACTAAGTTTTCTTTCTTGTTAACTTTAAATGTGTTTGTATTTATGCACCTGCTTTATGATACTTTTGTCCGGTAATGTAATGCAGAATATGCATACACCATGCAAGTGACAGCACCTGGAAATGTTTACAGCTATGGTGTTGTTTTGTTGGAAATCCTTACATCTCGACAACCTGTTGAAGAAGATTTTGGCGAAGGCGTAGATTTGGTGAAGTGGGTTCAAAGTGCTCCTGTAAGAGGCGAAACTCCAGAGCAGATACTTGATGCAAGGCTTAGCACAGTTTCCTTCGGTTGGAGGAAAGAAATGCTTGCTGCTCTAAAGGTTGCGTTGCTTTGCACCGACGGCACACCAGCCAAACGACCGAAAATGAAGAATGTAATTGAAATGCTTCGAGAAATTAAGTAAAACCGAGGGAAACCAGCCATCAAGATTTCAAGTATGTGAACCTGTCATGGATACTGTCACTGAGGAACTTATGGGTTACAAGTTACAATTTTAAATAGTAGTCTTGTATAAGGAATTATATATCACATGATGAAGGTGGTGTATCAAAGTAAAATCGAAGTTATAGGAATTCATAGATCTTCACCATTCTAGTTTGTCCATATGATAAGTTATGAAATCTATTTGAGTTGGACATTATGTTATTATGTTCTCATTACCGTTGCTCTCTCCTTCCTCCATTTCCTTTTCTTTTTCCTCTCTATTTTCACTTAGTTAAGATGATGAAGTATAAGATTAAAGAACAAATAGAGTTAAAGAACAATGTTTGTCAAACCACTTCTGTGCATGAATCTGTATTTTGACTGGTTACAGAAAAACTACCTTCAATCAAAAAATAAACACGGTCAAATTGGAGCCAAAGAAAAAAATATTTAAAACTATGCTTACATTCATAATAATCTCCTTTTTTTCTTCTTCTTCACTTTTTTCTCTCTCTAGTTTGATAGAAATGGAAAGACTTTGAAGAACCCGAAACAAATTATTCGATAGTAAACGAAATCCGATTTACCCGATCAAACTGTTTAAATATCGGGCGAAATTGGATGTCATATTTATTGGAAACTCGCCAAAGTCTATGATGAATTTCTAACACAATGACAATTTAATTATGAGACAAACAAAGAAAGAAGACAAGACAAATAATTTCTGCAGAGTTTCTCTCTGCTCACAAACTGTGAAAACTTTCTTATTCACTTTGCAACTGCAAAATACTGTGAATGACTTGCTTGACTTGCTTACAAAAAATAGGGGTTACTTCATCTATTTATAACTGAGCTTGCACCATAAGCCCAAAGTCCAAAATATCTTTTTGTTACTAAATCAAATCTAATATATTCTAGACTTAAATCAAATCTATTTAAATCTAAAACAAATCTAATTTTTTCGACACTATGAATTACAATTTAACACACCACCTAATTCATTGTGTCTAAACTATCTATATTTATCATGGCTCTTAGTCATCTGAATACTTCGACTTGCACTCCCTTCGTCATGATGTCTGCAATCTGATTCTCAGTTCTACAGTGTTCCAAATTCATCTTTCCATCTGCTACCTGCTCTCGAAGATAATGGAACCTCATTTCGATGTGCTTACTTCGACCATGTGCTATTGGGTTCTTCGTCAGATTGATAGCTGACATGTTGTCGATCATCATAGTAATTGCTCCACGATCTTTCCCTGTTATCTCTTCGACCAAGTTCACCATCCAAGTTGTTTGACATGCACAAAGAGAAGCAACTATGTATCCTACTTTGCATGATGATAATGCCACTACTGTTTCCTTTCTTGAATTTCAAGCAACTGGTGCACCACCTAGCATAAACATATATCCTGCTGTTAACTTTCAATCTTCAGCATTACTACACCAACTCGAATTAATGTATCCCACTAACTTGCATTCTTTTCTTTTATCAGCCGCAGGAAACAAAATACCATAATTGATAGTTCCTTTGAGATGCCTTAGTATCCTCTTCACTGCTGCTAGATGTGATATCTTTGGCTTCTGCATGAATCTACTTACCATACCTACACTATATGCTAAGTCAGACCTTGTATGACAAAGGTATCTCAATGATCCAATAAGTCTTCTGTATTGGGTTGGGTCGACATCATCTTCATCTGCATCTTTTGACAGTTGCAGTCTTGGTTCTGCAGGTGTCGAAGTTGAGTTGCATTCTTCCATCTTAAACCTCTTGAGAGTTTCTCCTACATATCTTCTTTGATGCATCATCAAACCCCTACTGCTCTTGTAGAATTCGATTCCAAGGAAATATGAAATTTCACCCAAATCAGACATTTTGAATTCCTTGCTGAGATCACCTTTGAAGTCTTCGATCTAACTTTTGTAGTTACCTGTTATCAACAAATCATCTACATAGAGACATAATATAAGCAATTTACTATTGCTTCTTCTTACATATACTCCATGTCCAGTTGTGCACTTTACAAATTCTTTCTCCCTTACGAAACTATCAATTTTCTTATTCCAAACTCTTAGAGCTTGTTTCAATCCATACATGACTTTATGCAGCCTGTACACCTTTCTTTCTTCATCATGTTTCACAAAACCAACTGATTGTTTAACATAAACTTCTTCTTCTAAGAGTCCATTCAGAAATTTACACTTTACATCCATCTGGCATATGTGCCAACTGTTTATTTATGCTAGACCAACAACCAACCTGATTGTTTCGATCCTAGCAACAGGTGAAAAAACTTCATCGAAGTCTATTCCTTCTTTATGTAGAAATCCTTTCTCCATAATCCTTGCTTTGTGTCGAGTTACTTCCCCTTTCAAATTTGTTTTCACTTTATATATCCACTTGACATCAATTGCCTTCTTGCCTTGAGGCACTTTGACAAGTGACCAAGTGTTGTTGTCTTTGATAGACTTTACTTCTTCTTTCATTGTTTTCACCCACTTCGAATCCTTCCATGCTTCAGTTGCATTAACAGATTTGACATCTGCATAGAAAACATAATGTACCAGCTCACCTTTATTACTTATCACATCATCTGATGTAATCATACAATCTTGCAATCTTACAGGCATGCGTCTTGTTCTTTGAGGTCTGCTTGTACTTGGTATATCTACTGGTTCCTCTTGTTGAACTTCTCTTTCGACTTGAGTTTCTGGTTCTTCGAATAGGATTCCAACTGAATCTTTCTTGACATTTTCAGTCCAATCCCATTCTTTAAACTCATCTATGATCACGTCCCTACTGATCACAATCTTCTTGTTCTCTGAATTGAACAACTTGTAGCCTCCCGTCGAATGATATCCAACTAGGATCATTTGACTTGACTTGTCATCAAGTTTTCTTATCAACTGATCTGGAACATGTCTATGTGCTATAGATCCAAATACCTTCAGATGACTCAAGCTAGGCTTCACACCAGACCAACATTCTTCTGGAGTGATTACTTCTAGCTTCTTAGTAGGACATCTGTTTAGAATGTATGTTGCAGTCGAAACAGCTTCACCCCAAAACTCTTTAGGTAAATTCTTGCCTTTCAACATACTTGTCACCATATTCATGATGGTTCGATTCTTTCTTTATGCAATTCCATTTTATTATAGAGTATAGGGTGGCACTACCTCATGCACAATCCCTTCCTTTTCACATAGCCTGTCGAAGTCTTTCGACACATATTCTCCACCACCATTAGTTCTCAAAACTTTGAGTTTTCGACCACTTTGTCTTTCGACCATAAACTTGAACTTGGTAAATACCTCGATCACTTCACTTTTCTTTTTGATCATGTAAGTCCACAACTTTCGACTGAAATCATCTATGAATATAACAAAGTATTTGTTACCTCCCATCGAATCCACCTGGATTGGTCCACATACATCATAGTATATAACTTCAAGAATAGCCTTTGACCTGATTCCTGCATCCTTGCTGAATCTATTCTTGTGTTGCTTCACCTACACACATTCCTCACATAACTCGTTTGGAATGTCGATTTCTGGCAATCCTGAAACCATATTTCTTCTCTTCAAATCTCTGATGTCTCTGAAGTTGAGATAGCCTAGTCTATAATACCATATCCATTCATCTTTTCTAGCTGCATTCGAAAGGCACTTGTGCTCCATCACATTTAGTTCGATCTTGAAGGTTCGATTCTGAGACATAGGAGCCTTCAAGATTAATCTTCCATTTGCATCAACGACTCTCATCATCTTATCTCCGATTGACACTTTATAATTCTTTTCGACCAACTGCCCTATACTGAGAAAATTGCTCTTCATGCCTGGTATGTACAACACATTGGAGATTACTGACCTTTTTCCATCTTTCCTCATAATCATAACATCACCAATACCTTCAGCTGCTAGGGTATTGTCATTTTCAAATTTTACCATATTTTTTGTTGAGGGCTTTATGTTGACAAACTAGTCTTTCCTTCCAGACATATGTGATGAGCATCCTGAATCCAAGTACTATTGGTCATTAGATTTATATTCATCTCTTGTTGTGACCATCAACATCATCTCTTCTTCTTCATGTTTTGCAAGCTTTGCATCACTTTCTTGATTCTTTCATTTTTTTGGACAATCACTCGAATAGTGACCATACTTCTGACAATTGTAACGTTGAATGTGACTCTTATCAGGTTTTTGACCACCACATCTTCCTCTATTTGCAACACCACCCCTTTGGTTGTCTTGGTATGGTCTTCTTTGATTCAACACGTTTCCTTCGATCTGATTTCCTCTACCATTCGATTTGTTGTAGCCACCTCTACCTCTGTCGAAACACTTTCCTTTGCCTTTGGTTTCTTTTGCTGAATCTGCCTGCAAGGCCACATCACTCTTCGATTTTCCTGCAGCTCTTTCATTCATTCTTTGTTCATGAGATTCAAGCATCCCTTGAAGCTCTTCCTTTGTCAATTTCGACAAGTATTTCCCCTCTTCTATCACCACCACTATGTGGTCGAACTTAGGAGCTAAAGATCTCAAGATCTTCGAAACAACAACTCTTGTTGTTAATCTTTCTCCACATGCCTTGATTTGATTCACTAGTTTTGTAACTCTAGTGAAGAAATCAGATATGCTCTCATTATCTTCCATCTAAAGCAATTCATAAGTTCTCTTGTGAATTTGTAACCTCACTTCTTTTACCTTTTCTGCACCTCTAAAGGACTTCTCAAGAACGTCCTAAGCTTCTTTTGCAGATTCTGAATCACTCATTTTTTCAAAGTTTTCTGGACTCAGACATTGATCAATTATAAAGGGCGTTTTATAACTCAGCTTCTTAATTTCTATGTGTTTCTTCTTTTCTTCTTCTGAAGTGTTTTCTTCAAGCACTTAGACTCCATCTTTTACAAGGTCCTAAATACCTTTACACCTGAATAAGACTTTCATCTGTTTACATCAATTCTCACGGTTGTC